AGATCACAGAATTTATATTCCACTGGTCTGTCAGAATTCATTAAAAATAGCAAAATATTCCAAAAATGACACAATGTCATGCATGACAAAAAAAAATACATGAGAGCCTTGGAAACCAGAAGTTTTGTATCTCAGAAATGTAGATGAAAAGGTTGGGCCTACCCAGCAAATGAAGTGATAAATACTCCCAAATGAATCAAATACCTGAATAGGAGTAAATACTGACTTGGGAGCCAGACCAGCCAAGCCAAACAGGCATACTCCTAAAAGGTTAAGGCAGATGATGCCTCCTAGAACAGGGCTATAAGTTTCCAAATACCCAGACAATTGTGGAAATGTAAACCCAACAAATGCAGTTGTGTGAATGTTCTTGAAACTTAGTGAAAAAAAAAAAGATAGGTTTGAGCCATGAATTACAAAGAAGGCACCTATGAGAAACTTTACGGGGCCCAAGGACTCCTGCTGGAAAGTGAGTCCATAGATGGAGAAGGTATATAAGAGCAAATCTCTTATCAAAGAACCAATGCTGAGGGGTGGTTCCAGAAACAATTAATCACAAAGCCCAAAATGTCTGTATTAAGGTCATCTAATGGAATTACCTGAGATAAAACAGGGAGAGTGTAATTTCACAAAATAAGAAATTCATATGAAGCAAATACCAGAATCAAAGAAAATGAACTGGGCAATAGCTGAAGAAGAAAATGAAACTGCAACAAGAAAATGTTAGTGAAACATTGCCCCAGTAAAGCTGCCAGGGTAATAATGCACAGCCTCAGAAGGTGAGTAAGCTAAAGAAAAGGAAGAGCAGGTTGAGGGTAAAAAGAACAAAAGTATGAGAAGAAGAAACATTCCTCAGCTGGGAAAGGAGATTCAAGGAACAGTAGCCTTAGCAGAAGGTACAGAAGCAAGAAGTCATGAGTCTGAGATGAACCAACCACATGACGAACAATGGTGGTAACACTGCTTAACATTTGGCAATGAAAGAAAATTAGACAACTCCTCTAAAAGAAAGTATGAACCTTGGAAGGTTTCAGAAACTAGGAATTGTACAAAATAAAAATTTACAAAAGTAGAATTAATGGAGGCTGTGTATTAAATAGGTCTGGTAAGACTGTGGTACTTGGGCCTTGGTAATTTTGTACTGACACTGAAACCTAAACACTGGGAAATCATTTTGTTAAAAAAATTATATCAATGTTCAGGAAATGAGTCTTAAAATCTTGTAATTTAATTAACTCTCTCACTATAAGGTCAGTCGATTTGACAGACCTTGTAACCATTTTGTAATCATTGTAGTTTCCATATTATAGCTTTTAATACAGTAAGTATATCTTTTAGTAAACATTACAAGTCTTTTGTACACAAAAAATTAGATTTGGTAATAAAGCATTTTTGTTAAAGAATTTGTCTGGGAATATATATATATATATATATACTTTTTTAACTAGTCTGAGTGCAAAATGATTTCCATGTTAAGTTCAAAAATACTTTTCTTTATTTTAGAAATCTCAAATTTCATTTGTGTAATTTCTAAAACCTCCTGAATAACTTTTAAACATTTATTTCAGCACAATTTTATATTTTATCTGTTATTTCCTCTACCCTAACTCTATACTAGGTTGGTCAATTTCACCGACCTCTTAGCCACCAACGAAAATCTAAATTACCTTTTTCTTTATTCTAGAATGACTTCAAATTGTAATATGAAACTACATTTGTTTATCCCAAAAAGCTTGAAACTCATAACAGTATACATCTATTTATACTTAAAATGTATTGTTTTATTGCTCTCTGAACCCTGTCTAACTACTATTCATACCATTATATGTTGTAACTCACTTGGTAGCTCATATGCTATTGAACTGCATTGCACATGAGCTCTCATGAAAATTTATTATTATTATTATTATATTATTACTATTTATTTTACCTAATCTAACTTTAAAATAAAAAGTTTCATATTTTTACATTTTAGTTACTTTTATAATAATAAATAGAGATTACATAGGAAAAACAAGAAAGATAATACTTGCTTGGGTCTTTTTTTTTGCTGCTGACTGTCGATGACACTTAACCATACATTTTTATACAAATGTTAGTACAGCACTTAATAATTTTTTATTTAATCAAATAATGCATCAAAGAACACAAAATAAATAAAAAGCAGACAATGTCCCAGAATTATCTGGCTTTCTAGCAATTTGACAAGAATCACCAAAATTTCAATTAAGCTCATAGATATGTTTCCTGTGGGAATAAAGCTTGAACTAAAAAGTGAAATTGACAATTCTCTGTAAAGAAACAACATAATATAATATATCATTTCATAGAGTAAAACCTTGGCATTTTATTGGTTATAAATAACGTAGTATTGAACATCAGTGAGAACCATTGGCACTTTCTAAAAGGGAGGATGTGACAGGTGGGTGTGACAAGAGGGATCTGATTTCTGTTTCATGGATTGAAGGCTATAAAAATTATGCTTTACCTGAGTGATGACAACATTATAATGAGTAATTTACATTGAATTTCATACTTCTTGAAGGGGTGGTATATAAATTAGAGAAGAGGGGATACCTAGGGAGAAAATGTCACAATTCTGATACTAGGGGAAATTCTAGGTTTTATTTTGATGTTGCCTCATAAAATTAAAAACTTAAAACTTATATACTATTGACAGATGGATTATTAGCTATGAACATAGAAGTGGGCAGAACACCTTCATGGTGCTAGTTTTTTCTATGACAGTCCATGGAATAGATATGGTCTGACTCAGACAATAAAGCGAATACAGATAAAGAGATATATAAACCACAAGGATATCTCAAGTGGTCTTGCTGAACACCCATCTCACAGTGGGCACATGTAGAGTCAGGGCTGGTGGTATGAGCACTTTCTGTTATCCTGGCTTGATGCAAATTTGGGTAAGTATATCCTGGGAGACAACACCAGCCACCTGGTGAGATCCTATGTAATGAATGAGGGGCTCTGAAAGAGAAATAGTACGTATTCTTTTCTAAGACAGGGTGGTGATTAAAGAACAGCAATCTGTGGAAGCCAAAAACCATCATGAGATAAAACAGCCAGGAGGTTTAGTAAAGGAGATGAATGTGTGGAGAGAATCCACAAGTTTTCTGGCTAATTTTCCCTCTCCCAGTTTTTCAACTGATGAACAAGTGTAGAGGTGAGATTTTTAGCCGTAACACAGTATTGTTTTAAGAGCAGAAGGAAAATAAATTTCTTTAACAAACAGAATTACACAAAATAATAAAAAATTAAAATTAAGTATAAAGTCTAAGAAACTAAGAGTAAAAAAGTTTGGAAAATACAAAACTAAAGTACAAAAAAGAAAAAAATAGATCGCAATAAAGTAATGCAAAATAATTAATCACAGTGTTCATTTATTCACTCAGCTTTAAGTGCAAGTAAAATATTGATGTAAAATCCACGTAGGTCTGTAAGTTATCAAGTCAGAATCCTGCTTATTCAGTATATATATACACACAAGTAGTATAGGAATTGGTATGTTTATGTGGTATATAAACATATCATGTTTCTAGCCTCTTATTTCTATTTCTTATTCTAAGGTTATCAGTTATTCCTAAGTAAGTGCAGTTTTCACATAAAATGTGATTAAGAAAGTTAAAGACAATAATCATAGCCATAAAAGAAACCCAAGATAACACAAATATACATTCATCTAGCATATATTAGGTTAAAGTGACTATAAAGTGCATCTAATTCTCAAACAATCTAAAAACAAATTTTGAGATTATATTGACAAAACTAAATAAAACAAACTTTAATAATAATAAAAAAAACATGCAACAGTTAGTAGCACACTTCACAACAGTCACAATGTCCCAGTGGGTACAAAAAATAGGAAATTGGTAGAAATCAGTGACAATTGGTTAATCAAATGACAGATCAGGCTTCATATATATATTAAATTCTTAAACAGCTTGTCTGCTGAATAATACAACAAAATAACTGAATATCATATATGCTACATAGTTTTTCAAATCCTTTAAGAATATAGGTTCACTGTAGTGAGTAAAACACAGCTAAAAACACCATACATATAAAATATATTCATCACTACAAGAAGTCTAGTCTTGTATTTTCAATTGGCCATTGTTCAGGGTTAATGATGATGAATGGAATGCCATAAAACTGGCATAACTCAGTGACAAGTGTTGAAGCTAGATTGGGCTTCATGTTCATTTTTAACACTTTTCAGGTCTTTTGACAACATTTTCCCAAGAGTCAATGAAATGCATTACTCACATAATAGCTTGATATGTTTCTCACAATATTACTGCATCTAGCTTGTAAAGCGTTATAGCATCAGATAATTAATTCCATCTCTTTCTGTGCTCCATATGCAAGTGTAGCTTGGCTTCCAAAGTTTGTAACATCTTTGGGAGCACTGGTTCTTGAAACTAACAATTAAAGGCCCACATCTGCAACATATTAGAAAATTTACATGGACCAAGAAGCCATTCCAAGATTCATGACAATCAGGAAGGAACCTCTGAAAGCAATGGTTCCTGAAACTAACAAGGCCCAGACCTACAATACGTTACAAAGCTTACATGGACCAAGAAATAATTCCAAGAATTTTAACAAGCTGGAAGTATAGTTTCCTGACACTAAATAGCTAAGGTCCAGATCTACAACACACCACAAATTTCACATGAACCAAAAAGTTACTAATTTTAGATAATGAACTTATATTTTACATCAGCACTCATTTTGCTGCATCTAATAATTACTACTTTTTAAGATCTATGAGCTCCTTTCCATGTGGAATTTTAATTACAAATGTCTTTCTTTTTTTCAATCAGTGCATCAGTGCACCAAAAAGACTGATCAACTACGAAAAACTGATAATATAATATATTAAAACATCTCTCAACAGTAAATTAAATAAAGTTTCAATTATAATTCCACTTATTAAGTATTATTTTGCCTCGTTGTTATACAAAACAGAAACTTACTTGCTTACTCGACTAACGTAACTTGATAAATTTTCTGATATAAAAATCAAGTAGGCACAGCAAAAACCTGGAGTGAATAAAAACAAAATAAAGAAGTAAGTAATGCCTGAAATTTATGATAAAACTAAAGCACTTTCATTAAACTTTATAATCAAATGAAAACAAAACTTTTTTCTGCTCCTCTTACTCTGTTTCTTGTATTTATTTAGTGTGTTTATTCTTGGCTTCCCACTTTTCATTAATATTTTTTTTTACATTTATATTTTTGGTGGTACTCATAATTGATATGATGTTTTTTGGTATTGTTGAACTGCAATTTTGTATAAATCTTTTTTTTTTACTTTATTAATTAGTGTTGTTTATATTTTTTTACTTTATTAATTAGTGTTGTTTATATATTTTTACTTTATTAATTAGTGTTGTTTATATTTTTACTTTATTAATTAGTGTTGTTTATATTTTTAATCCATGTAAAATGATTATACTGAAATATAAGAGCAAAGCTGGTTTTAAAACTGTGTATGTAATGATTAGCAATTAATAATTTTAACAAACTTTTTCTTGAAAAATACAAAGGAGACACTTTATTTTTTACTCTACTTACATACATTTACTTCTAATACACAGTAGTTCACAGTCATACACACTCAGCATTAGCATATAAATACTCAAAACCTACAGTTGAGATTTTTGATACAATTCCCAAACAAACTTAATATATCAAGTTTAACCTGCGAAATCTTTTAAAATGTGGCTGTTATTAGGGATCTAAAATGGCCATTATCAGATATGGGTGCAGATTTGAACAAATATATAATATGATTATTGAGAAGAAAAAAAAATTTAAGTGCTTACATCTTAACACGAGTTTACTCATCTTTTTTTGTACCATTTAATAAACGTTGCATTAGAAAGGAGTTGGACACGTTTTATTTTGTTCTGTACAGTTATTATTTTTCTGGTTTTTACTTACAATAGCCATATTTTTATAAATGACTTCTCACAAAAAATGTAACGTGTTGAGCAAAGATAAGATAATTACTGAACTATTTGATGATAATTTGTCCAATCTTCCAAGTGAAGGTGTCAGAATGATCCACAAACACATCCACATCAGAATCTTCAAAAATGCCAGAATGTCCAAATTTGTTCAAATCTGTTTTGGCTCATTGTCTTCGAAAATACTGGGCTAGTCAAAAGAGGATCTGTTGACCAATAATCTTTCCTTGTCTGTCCCATTAGTAGAATAAGGCCTAGGAGTTTTCTCATGTCTCCAGGTGTAACTTCAGACCATTGAAGTCCTTTAGATGACATTCTATGTTTCTCTGCAGTTTGATTGTGGTACGTACACATTTCCTGACAAAACATTTCCAACAAGTCATCACCAAATTGGCAATACTTTTGGGTTCAGATGGAGTTATAGTAACCCCTGGATTTCCTTCAAACATTTCCAAGTTCAGTGGAATATCTATTCCTGACCAATTATCATAACAGGAAAACAAATCACTAACAGGAACATTTGTAAAATCATCATCACTTTTTGATTCAAAATCAGTTGAGAGCACAACAACTTTACATATCTTTGTAGGACTAACAATGTCAAAATGATAATCAGAAAATGGATGAGTCTTCAGGCAGGCTCTTCAAAATTCAACCAGTACTGGATTATTTCCTCAATAAATACAGGACACTATACAAACCAAAACAACAGTTGTCATTGGATGAAGGCATGATTCCATAGAGAGGATGTCTAAGATTCCGAACATACAACCCTGCAAAAATTGTAAAATATGGCCTAATTGTGAGAATGATGTGTGAGGTTATATTTGCAACATGGAGATCTATACTATGAGGGGAAAAAATTGGAGGAGACTATTCTTTCAGTTCTTCCTCCCAATCTTGGATTGTGACACCACATATACCAGGACAACTATTACAACAGTACTTCCATTGCAAACCCGTTCCTAGAACATAAAACAAGAGTCTGTGGAACAATTAGAGCAAATAGAGGGTTGCCACCAAGTCTGAAGTTTCAACAATGAAAAAAAGTGAAACAGCTTTCTGTAGAAAAGGTGGTGTTCTTGTTTTCATATGGAAAGACGAGAGAGAGAAGTGAGAATGGTTTTAACCATCCATGATTCATCATTTTCTACCACAGAAGAAATAGAAAAAAACCTGTGTGTGTTCTCCAATACAATGCCCACATGAAAGGTGTTGATTGTGCAAATCAGTACCTCTCATACTACACCATTCTCAGAAAAACAGTGAAATGGACCAAAAAGGTAGTACTTTATCTAACAAATTGAGGCCTTCTCAATTCATATATTATCTACAAAGCCCTGAATCAATAGAAAAAAATAAAATATAAGCAGTTTCTCCTCTCTGTGGCAAGAGAATGGATTACTGATAAAGAGGAAAAAGGCTCACTGGAACTAGAGAGGAACGAACCTGGTCCATCATCTGAAGGTACAAGGAGAGCCCCATATAAGGATCCCCCAGGAAGACTGTCTGGTGACATGAAGCAGCATATTTCATCTACAGGAAAAAATAAATTTTCTACCAGAGCCTGCAGAGTTTGTAATGCCCATGGGAAAAGAAGTGAAACACAATACATATGCAAGTTTTGTGCAGTTCCACCCCATATGGGAAAATGTTTTACAAGAGATAATAATTTAAAAATTTACTAGGGGTTCTTCATGTATATACTCTAAGTTTCAAATAAATAATAAAAAATACAGTTGAGTTATAAGCAAAATAAAACACGTCCGACTCCTTTCAAATTCAACATTTTAATAAATGGCACACAAAGACGCTCTGCACGAAACACAAGTAAACTCCTAACCCGTCCGGAATGTGTTAACCTACTTGTCCCAGGGAAAGATAATTTCACCAGATAAATATTGGCAATTATAATATTTATTCAGAAAAGTTTGGACACAGTGCAGGATGTTATAAAAATACATGTTATGCTGCATACCTGACTTTCTTCTCTTGAAAACTTGTATTGCATATGTTTCTCTTTCAGCAATAAAAGAATAAAATGCATGCCAAGATACAATATGGGAGGAGTAATGGACTTGTCCAGGAGAGATGATACTTGCATTAGCTTCATTCAGGAATACCCTTGATATGCTGATTGTGAATGATGAAAAGGATTTTGTACATGTTCTGTGCCAGTTTTTGAAACACCATATACGATGTCCAAGCTTTCATAAACAAAACTTCTGATTTTCAATGTGCCACTGACAAAATTTTGTTCCCCAAGTCGCTTGAGGTATAATTATTTTTATATATGGTGTTTTCTCTATAATCACATTATACAATGTTTTGATAGAGATGATAATTCCTAAGCTATATTCTGTGTCAATTACTTGTAAGATAGTTAAAGAAAAAATGGGTTATATTAGGTGTGTAATTATAAAGAAAATTTCATATTTCAGTGCATCATATTTCTCAAACAGTATGGCACAGGAAAGTGAAACTGCACAGAGTTATATAAGGTGTGTAATTCTAAAGAAAATTTCACATTTCAGTGCATCGTATCTCTCAAACAGTATGGCACAGGAAAATGAAACTGCACAGAGTTATTAATGCTTCAAGTGTTGCAAATGTCACAGTTTTAAGTTTCTACTGGGGCTGACACTATAACTTAATGTCTGGCCAAACACAGCAACTGTTCAAAATGTGGTCCTCCAGCATCCAGAATGCAATGCATCTATGTGAAAATGGATATTACAGTAACAAGGCGCATCTCATCCAGCATATTGGCCACTTCCTATATATGCTTCTCACAGTACATAAGTGACACCAAATACATCCAAATTAGAAATTGGCTGGTGTTTAGTCTGGTAAACAAGATGGCCATCCAAAAGGAAAGTGACTGAAATAATTCTGTCTTGAATGTTCTCCCACAAGATGGGTTTCACCTGGTTACCAATATGTAGAGAGGCATCATCATTTTTGAAAATTGGAGTGTCTACTATATTTTATGTTACAGCAAGGGAATCGTGCAGCATTTACCGAGTAGGTTTACTGCTGGTTCTTTAAAAAAGGTATGGCTCATAACAGTCAGCTATGAAACCATACTACACTATAGCTTTAGCATCATGAAGACGTGTCGGAAACGTTATTTTGTTTATAATCACGTTGTATATCAACTCATATGATAAATGAAGGCATTTACATTATTTTATTAAGGCAACTTATGAGTTGTATAAAATATCAGCATGTGCTGTGTGTGTGTGTATTACATGCTATCCATTTGAAACATGTCTAAGCTCCAGGTACACTGTATCTGCCCAGCACTTGAATGCATCACTCTTATCAGCAGAATCCAGTCATGATCAGTTGCATCAAACACTTGTGGCCCACGAGTTGTTGGAAGAAGATGAGATACATCTGGTGAAAGCTGAGACACAGGAACTGCACCATAAAATAAATTCTACACGAGTACAGAATTTCACAATTTTTGCTCCTGGATGACCAAGTAATGCTATGTCACAAATGATCCATAAGATGTGACTGGAGTTTGATCCACAGATGATTACTATCAAGCTTTTAATGGAACAAGAGATAACACCAATTTCTGAGTATTTGACATTGCCTGTTTCATCTGGTAAGTGCCAAATGTTAAAAGAGGAAGGGAGCCCCGAGACACTATGTAACAGAAGACAAATGAAGCCAAAGACTGCATTGTAGGACTAGTTTCTCTTGGTTGACACTCATCTTTAACTCATTTGAGTGGAATAAAATGGCAGCATTTTTTGGAACAAATCTTTCCTATTTCTCTTGTGATTTGGTCAGAAAAAAATGTCCAATGTGTGAACAATCCTTATTTATTTTTACTGTAAGGAACTTATGATTTGGGCATGACTTTATCCAAGGCTCTTTACTTCTTAAACTTACCATTTACAAATTTAACAATTCATTTGACTTTACTTCTGATTTTGGAATGGTTTGTTGCTTATGCTGGATGCTTTGGCCATTTACACTTACATTTTGTACAGGGTGTCCCAGAAGTTGAACCCATAGGGAAAAATACACAATTTATTCTTAATTTATTTATTA